AGAGAGAGAGAGAGAGAGAGAGAGAGAGAGAGAGAGAGAGAGAGAATTGTCTAGAGTCAAGTATGATGATTCAAATCTGAAATAAAGCAAGAGGATCACCATAAATTAAAGGCTATCCTTTAAATTGGTAAGTTCTGGGCTATAAAAAGAGACACAAGAAATGAGGTTCAGAAGGCCAGAAACCTTTGTTCTCTGAATGATTGCTTGAATGTTTTCTCTGGGACCTTATATTTGGAATGAGTTTGCCTACCAGACTGTTGGTTACATAATTGCTTGGGCACCCAAATCAAGGGGAAAGGTGAGGTTTTGAAATGCTGTAGCTCAGGGAGTCCGGCTATCACCTTGAGGAGACTGAGAATAGGGAATGGGCTCACATGCTTCCTGCAGTACTTCACACTCCTGTTATCCACAGAAGCTTTGGCTTCAAATAGCACAGTGAGCTAGCAGAGCTGTGGTGTGCCTGGAAAGCGAGGCCAGAACCTTTCAGCCCACACCTGGAGCAAACACTCAGGGCTCCGTCCTTGGAGCCAGAATGGGCTGGGAGACGAGCGGGGAAAGGTGAGTGGCAATGGCCAGGAAGGTGCTAAAGGTGACCACCAAGAGGAAGTCAGGTCTGCAACCCAATTCTCAGAGCCCCACTCTGTCCTTTCGGGTTTATTGACCTTTGTTTTCGGTCCTAGGTCTTGAACCAGGACTTTGTGCGTGGCAGGCAGTGCCCACCACGTGCTATAATCCTAGCCTTTTCATTTTTGTTTTGAGAAAATATCTTTTTTTTTTTGCCAAGATGGCCTCAAACTTTAAAAAATATTTTGTCATTTTTAAATTTATGTCTCTATGCTCTGTCTCTGGTGTGTGTGTGTGTGTGTGTGTGTGTGTGTGTGTGTGTGTGTGTGAAGTCATGCTTTAGGAATCCAGAAGAGGGTGTTGAGGAGCTTGTGAGTTGTCATGTGGGCCCTGGGAGCTCAACTCCCCATTCTCTGAAAGAGTAGCAGCAAGTGCTCTTGACCACTGGGCTTTTTCTCCGGACACAGGCCTCAGATATGACCTGGAACTCGACATGCAGATGAAAGTGGTCTTGAACTCACAGAGGCCAGTTTGCCTCTGCCTCTGCCTCAGGAGTACTGGGATCAAAGGCATATGCCACTATGCCCGGCTTTCCTTTGGTCTTCTTTCCTCTACTTTCTGATTATTGAGATTACGGATGTGCTAACACGGGCTCTTTAGAGTAGACCGTTATGAGAGTGAAGGCTACTCCTTTGTGCCAGGTTTCATTCTAAGCACTCCACGGGCATCAGATAACTCGTTTATCCATAACTCACAGTATATGGATAAGATGGCTATAAATTATTAGCCCCATTCAGATGAGGAAGCTGAGGCCCACCCATGCAGCAGGGTTTGAATGCATGTGTTTTTCTTCTCTGTGTCACAGTCTCCTAGAGGTGGGTCCTGCTGCCTAACTCAAAAGATTCACACAGGAACAAGGTCTTAGTAACGACCTCTTAAGTCGGAAATTACCTCTTAAGAGGGTCAGAAAAAAAAATTCTAGGGTCACAGCACAGCAGCACTGGCCTGGATGAGAAATGGCCAGGTTTGTAATCCTGAACCCCAGAAGGATAAGTCTGAATGGTCACAGTTCAGACTCAGCCTGGGTGACACCCTGTCTCAAAAACAAAACAAAACAAAACAAAAACAAACAAAAACAAGAAGGATGGGTGAAATTGCTCAGCAGGTAAAGGCACTCACTGCTCCCAACTTGAGTTTGATTCTTGGGACCCCTGTGGTGGAAGGAGGGAGCCAACTCCTGGAAGCTGTCCTCTGACCTCCACACAGGTACAACGTATTTGCCCCCCAAATAAATAATGCAATTAAAAAAAGAGTCCTGTGATACCTAGTACATAGCTGGAAAGCATGTCATTGTTTAGGGGATGTGTGAATAAGGATGTATTTGTGGGAGAGAAGAAGAAGATGAAGGCATGCTTATGCACATGTCCTGGCTATTGGTGGACTCGCCCTGGTCCGGCACCTTCCACACTCCTTCTTCAGGTCACAGAAGGAAATCCCTCTCTTCACACCATGTTCTCATTTTCTTCTTTCTTCTTCTTAAATTTATTTTTTATATATGTATGTGAACGTGCGACAGCATGTATGTAGAAGTCTGAGGACAGCTTCCAGGAGCTGGCTAGTACACACTGCTCCAGGCACCAGACACCCACAGGGGCTTTCTGGGGAAATCTGTTCCTTCAGTCTCCCAGGAACCTGGGTGTGGCTACCCCAGGCTGTGGCTTTACAGAAGCAGCGCCCATAGGTTTGGGCAAACTCTAGCTGTGAGAAATGTCAGCTCTGTGACTTTGCAGTCATACTCTGATCATGTGACAAGGACCAATGCTTGTGACTTTAGGTAGTCAGGAGTCTGGAAGGTCACAGAGGAAGGGAAAGGAGTTGGCTTTTCCAACGCCTGCTCTAGGTCTAGAAGCCCTTGTGAATGTGAGCTCATTTGTATTTTCCCAATAACAATGTCACCTATTTTATAGGTGGCTCCATTGAGGCCAGAGAGTCCAAGGCATGTGCTGAGGTCACACAACCAATACATAGCAAAGCCAGGATTCAGCTTAGGCTCAGAATAAGCCTGTGCGTCCCTGGGTCCAGTCCCAGGACAGAATGGCTGCTGAGAACAACACCAGGCATGACTGGAGACCCAGGACCAGGCTCCACCGCTGTTGAGGACTTTAATCTTGGCATGTTCTAGGAAACCGCTCTAAGCCGGAGTCCTTGCTATAAAGTAACAGTGTAGCACCTGAAATTCTAGGAGCTGATTAATGTAAACGTTTGGCTCAGTCTCAATGGTTGTTTTGTGTTATTGTGTCCTGCCCTGGCACCCTGGCTCACCCCTCCTCCCTGGCTGTCCCCGCAGATCATTACTGGGATTTCCCCACACACCATGTACACAGCGAATTCGAGAGCTTCCCTGAGAATCACTTCACGGAGCTGCAGAGTGTGCAGGCCCCGCAGCTGCAGCAGCTCTACCGTCACATGGAGCTGGAGCAGATGCATGTCCTCGATACCCCCATGGCGCCACCCCATGCCAGCCTCAGCCACCAGGTGCGTGCTGACCTCCAGGCCTGTGGTGAGGTATGGAAGCGTAGCAGGAAGCGGACACAGGCTCTTACTCAACGCGGCTTCCTGCTCCCCAGAGCCAACGGCAGCTGGTACCCCAACGGCTCTGCTGACCTCCTGATTGACCTTATGAACCCACATCTTTATCTCACAGAAGATGGACAGACCTCATTGACCCCCTAGCCTCAGCCATTCTTTCCCACCCATCCCTGTTTGTGGGCCCGAGTCACTGAATCACTGGATCAGCCTCTGCAGATCCCATGGCTCCTCACTGATCTTTGTGACTGACCCTTCTCTGCTCCTGGGACCCTGACCCCAACCAGTGGCCTCTGCCACCCTTCACTGCCCTCCACTGCCCTCTCATTAGCTCATCATCCCCTTATTAAGTCCCACTCACATTTTTTTTCCTCTTCGAGACAGGGTTTCTCTGTGTAACAGCCCTGGCTGTCCTGGAACTCACTCTGTAGACCAGGCTGGCTTTGAACTCACAGAGATCTGCCTGCCTCTGCCTCCTGAGTTCTGGGATTAAAGGCATGGAGCTCCACCGCCCGGCCCCATTCACTTTCTTAAAACCAAGTCACTGCTCCCTGCACATCCCCTCCATTCCTAGTTCATTGCCAAGCTAGATGGCCCCTTGCCATACCAGAGGCCGCATTGGGAAGGGTGGTAGGCTCAGTAACTAGAAACCATTGCACCATGACCACATCCCTGACCGCTAGTGTTCCCTTCTCAGTCTTCCTGGCCCTGCTGGCCGCTCTCCCACACTCCCGCTCTCACCCAGTCGACCCCTGTTGCAGCCCTGGGCTACCCCTTATTGACTTCTGCCCCTTCCTTCCTTCCTTCCCTTTGCAGGTTTCCTACGTGCCCCGGATGTGCTTCCCTTACCAGTCCTTGTCCCCAGCCCGCCAGCAGAGCTCAGATGAGGAGGAGGGTGAGAGGCAGAGCCCCCCATTGGAGGTGTCCGATGGGGAGGCTGATGGCTTGGAACCTGGGCCTGGTCTTCTGCATGGGGAGACAGGTAGGATCTGTCTCCTGATCCAGCCGATCCTAGCTGCATTTACAACCCTTGCAAATCCCAGCCAAGGCCAACTGGCCCAGTAGCTGTGTCTCAGAGCTGAGTATGAGTGTGTGATTCTCCACTGTGTAAGACTCTCAGTCTGTGTTGTGAGTAAACAGTCATCTCCTGAAGTGTGTGAAGGTCTGTGTGTGTGTGAAGGTATATGAGTGTGTGAAGAGAGACTATGTGTGTGTATGTGAAGGCCTGATGTGAGTGTTGGATTTGTGAGCATGTGACTGTGACGGTCTGAGTGTGTGACTACTTGTGTGTATGTGAGGGCCTATGATTGTGTGAAGGTCTGTGGGTGTGTATAAGGTGCTGTGAGTGTGTGAAGGCTTGTGTGTGTGAGGGGGCCCTATGAGCGT